TGAGTACTAAACATATAGTTTACCCTAAGGGGGCGTTTGGATTAGGTTATGTGAGATTACCGGGGGAATGAAATGTGATTCCCCTCTTTGGATTGCAAAGATTCCCATCCCACTGTAATAAGTTATTTCCAACAGTGGTATTTTGGGGCTTATTATCAGGAATGTGATCCCCTTTCTTTAGGTATTGTTGCATTCCCGGCGTTTTGGACTAAAATACCTTAAATTTCTAAAAATATCATTCTTTTGTCGTTGAATAAAAAAATTCTACGAAGGTTAAATTACAAATTTATCCTTAAACTATTTTAGATTTACAAAAAAAAGTCCATAATTAGAATTTTATATAAAGTTCAGGGGTTAAAATAAAATTTTACCATTTCATTAAACCTATTTATCTTTTCAATTTTGTAAAAAAATTATATAAATTTTATGAATTTAATTTTTTTAAAGAAAATATATAAATTAATTATAGTAGAATTCATCTTGTTAAAAAAACAAATATATAATAAGGACAATTTGATAAAATATACATTCCAAAAATCTTTTATTCCTTTAACCAAACACTATAATATTACATTCCTGTTAAACGAACCAAACACAACAATACAACATTCCCAGTAATGTGCTAGGTAATATTACATTCGATAATCCTATTCCTGTCGGTAATCTTACATTCCGTGAACCAAACACACCTAATTATTTGACCGAATTAACATTAAAAAGCATTCCTTTGGACTGAATCCAAAAAATAAAGAATCTAGAGTATTTGGCGGAAAGTAATTACATATCTTAAACTTAATCAAAAAATATTTTGAGTACTTAAACGGAAAATGTTATATTTTACGTACTTATAAAATAAACTTTTTAAGGAAGTAGAGATGTCACAATTTACAAACGATGAAATTATAGTTGATGGACTGAATCCACCAAAAGTTCATAATATAAGGACCTTCTTTAATTTTCCAAATAATACAGGAACCAGGATTTTGATCAAAAGTGTAAAGAATTATCAACACAATTATGGCTGAATGGAAATTCCATTTCCAATTTTGTGCAGTTTAATGCTTTAGAGGTTGACTTGTATTTGTCCTCAACGTGTGTATAAAGACCCCATCCCCAATTCCCATCAACCAATCAACAACCGAATCCAGAGATCTTTAAATTTTACGGAAATTTCATGTACTTGGATTTGTAATTTTCTCGGCACATTTTCCATTACTCTCAACAGATATGAATCATATTCACGGCGGTGTCAGAGCCATCATCATCCGCATCCTCGCCGCCTCTGTCATCGGAGCCGCCGCAATCACCGCCACCAATTACTGCCGTCGGAAGAGAAAATCCGTTGAAGATCATCAAAGTCTCGTCCCACTGTAGCAGAGGACAGATTCAGGTCGGCTTGAAAACCTGGAAAGATTCCCCCACTATGTTGGTATGATTTCCCACGAGATTTAGTCCAAATTCAAAAAACGAATCGGAACCCATTTTTTGAATTTAATTTTTAATCTGTTTTTTTAATATATATATATATATATCGGCAGCTAGGCAACTGAGATTTGGAGATGCAAATGAATGCCCGTAGCAGTGCAAATTGGCTGAAAACTATGTGAAGAAACCCAAAGAATTTGAGGTTAAGATGCTTGATTATTTTGCTGAAGAACCAGAAGTTGAGGTTTTGTATGTGAAGTTGATGGAGCAATTTGAGAGATGCATCCATAGTTACTTTGCTTTCCATTGGAACCAAGCTCCCAATATGATTTCTCAGGTATATATCCCAATATATACTTGTGTATTTTCGTATTTTCCAGATCGTAGATTCGAATGCAAAATCTGTGGAATAATGTGTTGAAATTTTTTTTGCTAAGATGGTGTAGTCGACGGATTATTTGTCCATTGAGACGAATGTTACAGTTTTTCATAGGTCGTCATGTTTTCCAAACGACCTATATTGGTCGCCATGTGCTCCGAACAACAATTACCTAAATTTTTTTAAGTAACAAATATTACCTACATGATAATTAGACTTTTATACGATTACCTAAATTTCCCTAAGTAACAATGATTACCTACATCGGTAATTAGGATTTTTAACTACGTTGAAATGGAGGTCGCCATATATGTCGGGCGACCTTATAGGTCGTCATGTGATCCCGACGACCAAACTGGTGAGATACCTAATTACCGATATAGGTAATGAAGCAGCTCACCACAGCTCGCCAAGAGCGCCTGACGACATATGTTCGAACTGTAGATTTCACCCTATCTCAGCAAATAATTTCAGTTAGACCTTATTTCAACGAATTTTTTTTTCAAAACTCTACAGCAGCAAATTAGCCGATTCGGATTATTATTAACATTTTCAGTTAAAAAATTCTTAAAATTAAAATAGCGAATATTTATTATATATATATATATATTTTATTTACATTATGTTTCACGAAATAGAATTACGTATTTATTAAATATTAACAAATTGCTAGAATAAATATTTATTAGAGTTATTTTCCAAAAAAAAATTATTTAATAAATAAAGAAGAATTAATTAGTGAAGTCAAAGTCTTAAAAATTTTCTAATATTTTACCAGTAGCTTTGAATTTTATTACAAATCAATTACGCAGCTTGCTAATATATATATATATATATATGACAATATATTTATATTTAAATAAATAACTAATGTAGATTTAATAAATGATTTTTTGTTAATTTGTATTGAATTTTGATTTTTTGGTTGATAGGCAAACGAGATTTGAGAGGGTGATAAAGGACTTGAAGGTGGCAAGGGTGTTCTCGACGTAGGTGGAGGAGATGAAAGCGATGAGACCTGTCTACGGCGAGGCAAAGTGTACGGACGTGATGGTGCCGGTGGCCCACAGCCAGCAGAGCCCCGTGCTGTTGCTTATAGGCGGGGGTATGGGGGCCGGCAAAGCACTGTCCTCAAGATGTTATTTTCAAAGAGTATGCCTATCTCCATCATTCCCCACTTTATGTGATCTTAAAAGATCGTATTTTATGAAAATTGAGAAGTTGATTCAATTGTATCCGCAGATCATTTTGGGCAGACGCGGCGGCGAATGCGGTGGTTGTTGAGGCGGATGCATTCAAAGAAACAGATGTAATATTCAGAGCTCTAAGCTCAAGGGGTCACCATCATGACATGCTCCCCAAATCCGAACTCGTCCATCAATCCTCCATCGAGGCCGCATCGTCACTGCTGGTGACAGCGTTGAACGAAGGCCGAGACCTGATAATGGATGGGACTCTATCGTGGGATCCCTTCGTCAAGCAGACAATCAACATGGCTCGGAATGTCCACAAGCACCGCTACCGGAAAGGGGTCGGATATAAGGTCGATGAAGATGACACCATCAACGAGAAGTATTGGGAACAGATCAACGAAGACAATGATCATCAAACACATAGGAAACCTTACAGAATCGAACTTGTCGGAGTTGTATGCGACGCATATCTAGCTGTCGTTAGAGGTATAAGGTAACAATAGTTCGATTTATATCCATCACCCGTCGATATCCCAACTCTACGAACCGTTACATCGATCGATTTCATAAAAATGTGCAGGAGAGCTATCACGGTGAAACGAGCAGTGAGTAAATTCACAGTTAAGATCCCACAAGAGGATTGCAAGTGTATTTCCAAAATATTGCCAATTTGTTGACAGTGCCAGGCTCTATTGCACTAACGCTCTTAGAGGCCCTCCAAAGGTACAGAAACCCGAAGATTAACTCGGCTTATGCATGATCTGATCCGAGATTCGAATCTCGAACATTTACGAGTTCGTTTAATCATCAATGTGTGTATGCATATGCAGTTGATAGGTTGGAAAGACGGGGATAACAAGCTGCTGATAGATCCAGATGACATCCAATGGTTGTCAAATGTGAGCAAGTTGAACCCAGAAGCAAATTGTGTGTACGAGCTTTATGAACAAGACCACAGTCCAGTAGTCATGCCTGGTTCGGTCTGGAAAGACGTTTTTTGTCCCCTAAAAGATCATCTATCCAATTGGAGCTCAAATCATATATTCAAAGAATCGAAGAACAACAATTGTGACACGAGCACCATATATGTAAGCCGGCATCGGCATCGGTATAGATTCTATGTCGATAAGATCACCGGAATGTTCAATTTTTCATTTTCTTTTATATATATAGTTGGAGACTTTTAGAAGATCGTATCTTTATCAAATACGCAAATTTTAGGGAATAGATGAGAAGTAGCAAAGCCTTCAAACTTGGTTTCAGATAAACAATCTCTCTGATAAATCTTGTGTGCTCCACTTCTTTCCCTTCATGCATGCCTTCAAATATTCTTTTTTATGCATTCAATGTTGTTATTTTCATGCGTCAGTTCACAAATATTAATGGACACTTTTTTTTAAGTTTTCATTCTCAAAGAAAATAATTGATTGTAACTCTTATTCTTTATAGGGAGAATTTTCTCTCTCAGTGTTTCATTCTAGGGTAAAACGACCTCTATTTTAGAATATTAATCACTCGTGATAAATGATTTCCATCTATGTAGGAGTCTTTTTATTCTAAAACAGAAGGTTGGAGGTGAAAATGCTAAAAGAAAGAGTCAAATTTATTATTTAATCAAACATTAGAAGTATTCTTTTTATTATGCCTAAAATATTACGTGTCTAAATCAATTTTATATAGATATCTAAAGATGGACAGAGAATCATGACCAAATAGGTTTCAACTCGAATTTATAGGATTAATTTTTTTATTAAAAAAATTTAGGTTCAGATCGATTTAGATAAAATTTATCAAATATCAAGTAGGATGAAATTTTAGTTTAGACAAAAATAATAATATATGTTTCTTTACATATTTAAAGACAATTACTATAATATCCCTCTCAAAACACAAATCTAAATTCAAACCCAATCCAAAGCCCAACATTGGAATCCAAAGATCCGATTTTAGAGTTTTCAAGTATATATAAGCAATTTTATCAAAAGCATTTCCACATCTTCCACCTCCCGGATAAAACCCTTGGCGGCGACTGCTCCAGCCTCGGAAAACCAAAGCTTTCAACCATGGTAGTTGCATTTAATTTTTCCTCCCACTTTTATATTTTTCCTTTTGACTTACTCTGTAATGTATATGTATGTGAAAAAAATAACAGGCGGATCTGGAGACGGAGGCTGCGCCGGCCGGAGTCCCAAAGAAGAGAACATTCAAGAAATTTAGTTTCCGAGGAGTTGATTTGGATTCTCTCCTTGATATGTCCACCGATGAGCTTGTCAAGCTCTTCCCTGCTCGTGCTCGTAGAAGGTAACTAACGTAATATTCAATTTTGCTTAAATTTTTATATATATATTTAAAAATATGAAATGAGTTTGTTTTTATAATTGTTGTTATTATGTGATTTTAGGTTCCAGAGGGGTCTCAAGAGAAAGCCCATGGCTTTAATCAAGAAGCTTCGCAAGGCGGTAAGCTGATCTTTACTTATTTGTTTTTTTGCCTTTTTTAATTATATTTATGGGATTTATGTTTAGATCTAATATTGATGTTGAGTTACTGTGGAGTGCTCATTTGATTTTGTTGAAAGTTGAAGCTAATGTATTTTTATGCTTTTAGGTAGATAGAATTAGAGAATTTCTTAGGGTTATTTGTTGAATGTCTTGAATTTTTCTATTGGGAATCTATGTTTGTAATAGATCTTACTAGCTGAAGTTGATCTTGCTGAAGTTGATCTTTAATTTTTTGTCTTATTTGAAGAATGTAGTCATTGTTTATTTTTAATGCTCATCTCAAGGTAAATTGCATTCACTAGCTCGATTATTTTCCAATTTACGCATTCGAATGCACATAACCTGATTTAGTCTTATTCATTGAAGTACAGTTTTCTCAGCTTATTGTAATTGTAAGTAACTACCTATTTTGCATGCGTTATAGCCATGCTGGTTAATTGTTGAATATCTCAAAGTTTTCTATAAGAAATTTATGTTTATACTAGATCTTACTAGCTGAAGTTCATATTTTTTTTTTCTTATTTGAAAATTGTTGTCGTAAATTGTTTGTTTTTAATGCTCATCTCAAAGCGTACTGCATTCACCTGATTGATTATGTTCCAAATTATGCATTTGAATGAACATTACCGAATGTAATTTTGATTCATTGAAGTACAGGTTCTTAGCTTATTGTAGTTGTAAGTAACTTCCTATTTTGCATGCTTGATAGCTGTCTCAGGTTCGTTTTTCATATATTTGAGGCTATCCTCATAGGTTATTGAATTGAAATTGTTGTTCATAGTTTTAAGCTAATATTATCTTCTATCAAACTACATTAGTGTTCGATTATTCTGTGAAAGTTGATTGTTCTACTTTGATTCATTTATTTAGAAAAGGGAAGCCCCACCCGGTGAGAAGCCAGAACCTGTTAGAACCCACCTGCGTAATATGATCATTGTACCTGAAATGATTGGAAGCATTATTGGTGTGTACAATGGCAAGACATTCAATCAAGTCGAAATCAAGCCTGAAATGATCAGCCATTATCTGGCCGAGTTCTCTATTTCATACAAGCCGGTTAAGCACGGTAGACCCGGTATTGGTGCTACCCACTCTTCCAGGTTCATTCCTCTTAAATGACATCGTTTGCTTGCAGCTTGGATACTTTTTTTAAATCTTGTATTGTATGAAGAGATATTTATGTCGATCACATTTTGATTGTTGCAACTTGGTTATTTTAATTAATGACATTATTTGCTTTCGGATAATATGTTAAAATTTGGGACTTAGTCTTGCTCATGTTGTCGGATAATATGTTGATCATCCGTAAGAAGTTTGATTGATGTGAGTTGGAACTTGGAGAAGGTAATTCACTTGGCCTGGTTTCGTTGCTGGGGTCCGATGAATCGGACTGGTGAATGAATGGTCATATAGCGAAATTGTTCCTGTATGATCTTGATTTCTCCATGTTATTTCAGATTTTTTTTGACTCGCATAAATAATTTACAAATTAATTAATTTAAATGATTTCATAAATTAAGATAACTGATTTTAATTATTTAAACTTCTTAAAAATAATTTAATTCAAATTAATTTTTAAAATGAGCAAGTAAAAATAGTTAATTGATGACTTAATTTTTCCATAAATTCTAAATATAATTTAGGGTGAATTGTACAAATGGTCACTAATATTTCAGCAAGTTTTCAATTTACCCACTGAAGTTTCAAAAGTAACAAGTTTTCAATTTACCCATCGTTAACCATTGTTATTGGAGTAAACGAAATACTAATGCGGCATGTTAGTTCGACTCTTTCGGTATTGTTTAACCTTGTGAGACTATTTGATCGGCCCTTACCCCCTCCTGTCTTTCTTCGGCTTTCATTTCTTCTTTTTTCTCTAATCTCATACTTCACAAATTCTTAGACTTTTCTATTTTTTCTTCGTCTCTAATTAAAGCTTAACTGCATAATTTTTCATTATTTTTTTCTCTCCAAATCCATCCTTCTCAATACTGGAGTCGGACACCCCATAGTTAAAGTAGGTTAAAGCTACTCACGCATAAATTTTCTTTAAACCGTAGACAACATGGGATTTGAGCAATTTCATCCAACCAACACTCTTTATCATCAATGTTTTGGATCTTATAATCATTGGACGTTTTCTCTGTATTTCTTGTATATAGCACTTTTGTATTATTTTCGTGTTCTAAGAACTAAAATGAGAGAACTCAATGCTCCAAAGAAGGTAACACAAGTCAAAATTATAAATGGCAACCTGTAACGAGTGTCAATACAAGTCAATACTTTTACAAAGGATCGTCTTAGACCTTTCTTTGCAAGATTCTTCCTTTTTAACTTACCGCCATCCATGGTTCACCTTTTTGCGGGCTTTGTTGTCTATGGTTTACAGAAAATTTATACTAGGAACTTTAATCTACTTTAGTTATGAGTGTCCGACTCGAGTATTGAAAAATATATGTTTGGATAAAAAAAATGAAGGAAAATCGTGTAGTTGAGGATATGAAGAAAAGAAAAAGTATAAGAATTTGAGAAGGATGTGATCGAAAGAAGAAGTCAAAATGGTGAGTCGAAGAAGAAGAGGTGAAGACAACTCAAAATGGTCTTACATGACCAAATGAGGTTAAAAAGTTAAATTAATGTGCCACATCAGCATTGCGTTTTTCCAATAACAAATGTTAACGCTCGAATGATCAATTTATTATAAATCAATAATATCAGTGACTAATTTTGTTATTTTTGAAACTTCAGTGGGAAAAAGAAAAGTTATTTAAACATTAGTGACTATTTATGTAGTTTACCTTATAATTTATAAATGTTGAATATATATTTTTTAAAATTAATTAAATTGATATAATATTTAGGCTTAATTATAAGATAAATGCCTAAATTATATCACTTTTCTCAAATAGGTGTCCAAACTTTTTTCCCCGAATAATCTAAGTGCCTTATGTTACAACTTTTATCGCTTTAGGTGTTCGGGTCGTAACGGCCGTTAAATTTCACCATTGAGTAACATGTCTTACATTATGATAATTTTAGAAATTTTATTTAAAATAAAAAAAATAAAATTGTATATATTTTTTTAGAAAAACCAAAAAAAATTCAAATTTTTTTAAAAAAACTACAAAACTTTGAAAATTCCAATTTTGATCTCGATCGGACCTTCATCAAAACCTCCACCCTACAACAAGTCAAACCCGACTATAAAATCCACGTCTCCAATGAAGAAAATGAAAAAGTCATGATCCAAAATCGCATCTCTGTCTAATCCAAACCCCCAAATTCGCGACACATAGACGATAAAACGACACGCACAATGACACGAGAGATAATGGTCGACTAGAAAGATGACAAAGGTGACGACAATGACAGTGGCCATAGTCGACAAGGGAGGTTAAGGTTAGGGTTGTAGTTAGAGATTTGAGATTTTTAGGGATTTGAGACTTTTTTTTTAATTTTAGAAAAAAAGTTTTTTTAATAAATACAATATTAAAAAAATTCAAAATTGTTAGAACGCGATACATGTCACTTAACAGAACTTTCAACTTACGTCCTAGGCAACGAAAATGGTAATATTTGTAACATTAGACATTTATATGATTTAGAAAAAATTAGACACCTATTTAGGAAAAGTTGTATATTTTGAGTACTTATTTTATAATTAAGCCTATTTTTTTGATTAAAAGTTCAACTTATTAATATATAATCAAAATCATATAAAATCAATAAAAAATATCAATTTTGTAACACCCTAAACTAGTACGACACACAGTCGACTGATTAGAATGTCACACGGAACCATTTGAGTGTCTAACCCAATTTTTTTCTTAATTTCTTAATTAAAAATGACCTTTTTAAAACCATTTCAATAAGACATTCATCCATAAAGTATAAATAAAGTTTTTACATTGGGGAGCTCCCAAAATAAATATATAAAAAATATACAAACCAACTTTTCAAATAAAGTTACAACTCAAATATACAAACAAGGTCTATAAATATACATACCCTCTAAAGAAATACCCGAGACGTACTTTGCTCTAAACTAGGTCTAGATCTCGGCTGCTCAAAAGGTTCTTCGAATGCTCCACTTACTGATCTGCGTAAGGAAACAATTTTCAAACACTGAGCTCACTGGCCCAATGCCACGCTAACAACTAAACCATACTAAATGTGTTCATCAAATGCTCAAGCTATCAAGTATAATGCAATAGTATACTCACTCTCTACTCTATGGTAAACATCATTGTGCGATTGAGGGTTCTGTATCTCGGAGCTCATGCATCCCTCTAGTCTATTGAGGATGAGGCTCGAAATCTCTACATTGAACACAATACCCTTGACTAACCCACCCCTCACAAGTGTTGGGCCTTGGCCCTAGTTAGTCAATCTAAAGTGCCTTGCACACTACGTAAGGATATCCAGACTGATTAGATTTCTCGATACTAGTATCAATTACTAAAATGACTCGAATGTTCTGATCGTTTCCCGAGTATTCAACCAAGGGTAGTTTTATGTTACCCTAATTTATCTCATTTCTAATGTACTTAAGCAATATTATTGATATTAATTGAAGTCTTATTTGTGAGTAAATATTAGGTTCTTGGGAAACCTCCTTACTACTTAAAGTCTCATAAAATAATACTCCCAAAAATGCACTATGGTATCGATAGTAACCTCTTAGTATCGATACTGCCCCTTTAGTAACGATACTCATTTAAGGGTATCGATACTCCACTGATGATTTATATCGAAAGTAAAGGAGTAGTATTGATACTTACTCCTATGGGAAGTATCGATACTCTACCCTTGGTATCGATACTCACTAGAGTACTGATACCAAAATTGAACACTGGAAAAATGGTTTTGATACCCACCTAGCTATTATCGAATCAGGACCCTGGGTATCGATACTCTTATAATGAATATCGATACTCCCCTAAAAATACCCTTATTTATGTATCTCATAAGAACAATATCGTTATTGTTCTTGCAGTATTGATACTCACCCTTGAAAATACCCTATTTGGGCATAAATTGGCTATTTAACTCACACAAATTGTCCTATTGAGGTTCTCAAACATTAATTAAGTCTTATGTGATAATAAAAGATCATAAATAAGGTTTTGAAACATGCTAAAACACTAATACATGGAATATACCATGAAAATTTACTCAACATGCTTCAACCTCAACTCTAAAGCTAGAATGCATTTCTAATGACCCATAAATGATATGAAGAAGTTGTGAATGTGTTAACTGTCCTAGTTGCTAAAATCTCTCCCGAAATCAACCAATGGTTAATTTCTCCTTTCCTCTAGCTGCAGAGCTTCCCCCACTTCTTTATCTCATTTAAAGCAAGAAAAATGAGTTATTAACTTATCTAGGGGTTTAGATTAGAGTTAAGAACACTCTATAAGACTTAAATATACTACAAATGAGCTTGAATCTCATGGTTATCTTAACCCTTTGTAAAACCCATTTTTAAAACTATAACCCAAGTTTGAGATTAAAGGCTTGAATGGAAGCTTAAATGTAACACCCTAAAAATCGGGTTAGTAGTTTCGAATATTGTCGTTAGGCTTAGAGTGTTTAAATAAGTTCAATCCAATCATTTGGATTTAAGGTGAGAGGATTTGTTCTTGTAAGAAGCCCATAAAGGAATAAAAATGGTGTTTTTGATTTGGTCTTAAAAGAGGAAGAACCAAGGGAGTAATTAGACCCTTGTTTGAAAATAAGGCTCATTTTCATTTATGTTGCAAATGTATATGGGGTAGAGAAAGCTGACACTCTTCTCTAATTTTTCTTCACCTTTTGTCTTCTTTTTCTTCTTCACCATTGCTTTCTTCTACCTATCTTGAGAATCAAAGGTGAGAACTTTATAGTTCTACAAAACTATTCAAAATTTAAGAAGGTAATAGAGGTAATTTACTCCTTTAGAACTTCAATTCAAACCCAAAATCATGAGGGTTAGCTATGGTACCAGAATATAGGTTTTAGAGATATTTTAGTTTGAAGGCTTGAGAGTCTCTCTAGATTGTTCCGAAGTGTTTAGAAACTTGTTTCTAAACACTTAGAGCTTAAAAATGAGATTTTAATCCATTTGTTTGCTTTGGTTGGTGAAAGAGCTTGGTGAGTGTTCAAAATCCAAGAACAAAGATAAGTTTGTGCTTGGGTGATTCTTGGAGCCTTTCTTCATCAACTAGAGCTAAGGTAACACATGAATAAACCCCCTTTACCATATATAGATCAAAAACCATTGTTTGCTTGCT